AGCAGGAAACCCAGCAGTGTTTGCCTGCAGAGGCAGGAGGTGGCTCTTGCTGTAATAACTATGGTCATTCAACAGAAAGCTGCCAAACAGCTCCCTTAAAATAAAATTTAATTTGATTACAGGAATCTTCCTGACTAGCCATGGAATAACCACAACTATGACACTATTATCAGGCCGAGTCACAGCAAAATACAGATAGGAAGAACATAATCTTCTGCTGGAATATAAATTCTTTTATGGCTGCCAAAACTCAAATACTGGGGGTAACAGCATCCTAAAATACACTTCTAGATAGCAAGCACATTTGGCTGTGAAATACTCCCTGATCCTGGAGCAGTTAATAAACAGGTCAAAGGAGAATCTGTGTTTCACTTCTAGTTTAAAACTAACATTCCCCCTTGATGTTTAGCCCACTCCAGCTAAAACTAACATTCCCCCTTGATGTTTAGCCCACTCCAGCCCTTAGCACACAGGGTATATCTCCTTGCACAGTAATTAATGGAAAACAGATCTCTAAACCCACTGACTGCTCTGCCTGATATCCCTTAGTCCCATGTATCCAACAAAGCTGGCAAATAAAGACCAACACAACATGCTGTCTACACCCGTGGCCAAGGACCAGCCTTGTGACTAATCTCAGCCAAATATACCTCAGAAAAGAAACCAAAACCAAACAACTTGTTTCATTGCTGCACTCCCCTTAGCACTCTAGTCTCAGCCTGCTTCCCACTTGTGAAGACTTCCAACCCATGTAGAGTCAGGAGCTGTTAAAAACTGATCACATAGAGGCATCCACTGGTCTGACCCCGCGGGACGAGTGACTGCCATGTATTTTTGCAATAGGTCTGTAAAAGTGTTGCTACAAGCACAATCTGACATTCACAAAATGTCAGAGTAAAATGGATTTTACTTTTTTGTCACATTTCATCAGGCAGAAGTGTTCCCTGCAAATACCACAGCCTGTAGAAGCTGACAGTGATCCCAAAAGCCGTGTTCATTGCTTCCCATCTCTGCTACCATTTAGGCTGCTCTAAACTAAACTGCCCACATTTTTCTATTCTTTCACATTTTCAGATTTTGGAGCCCAAGCCTGGTTATCTACACCACAGGAGGAGTTTTCTCATGCTCTCTGCCAGTCTGAGCCAGAAGCAGAGTGAGATGTTTATGTGTACATGACAGCCTCCACCTGGCAGAGCCCATTGGCCAGAGTCACAACCTAAAGACCACTGGACAGTCCAAAGACACAGATTTTAATTTTAAACTTGACATCCACCTTAGGTTTATTTTGATCCAAAGCCTTCTTGGCTAAACCATGTGAATGAGAGGCAGACATCTCAGTCCAGCCTGAGCAGATAATGTTAAAATATCTTTTCTGGATCAGTAGCCTCAAGAGAAAGGCTGCCAACAAAATATGGCAGTAACATGAGCTCTTTGAAGCTGAAGACCATGTTTATGCTGCCAGAAGAGCATCAGGAATTGGACCAAGCTTTAGCTCTGATGTTGGGGAGTTGTGAGTGTAGTAGCACAGTTTGGCAGATGCAGTGTTACCCCCTCCCTGTCTGGGCTCTGCCCCTCTCCTTCCTCTGGATGCTGCACACCCTGACAATTTCACCCTGCTTCTGGCTCCTCTGCAGTCTCCCAGGCTGGATTTTAGTCTCCCAGAACACCACTTTTATTCTGGGCCTCTCCACTGCCCCCACACTGGATTAAAATTCCAATGTTTTAATGATGCAAACATCTGGCTTGCTGATAAGGCTGCAGGGTAACAGCTGCTGTTCATAAAGTGGAATGGACAGTGAATCATCTGCTGCTGCCTAATTCATCCCATCACTTGCAGGTTTGTATCTTCACAGCATGAATATGAATCTGATGCTCTGGCAACCTCAGAAGACCCAAAATCACAGCACAAATGAGCACACATGCTGGTTTCATCATCAACCCAGACTTCATGCATTGACCAAGCAATGTCCTTGACAGTAGCTGGGGAAACAAAGTCAAGTCTTTGCTGCTTTTCTTCTTATAAACTTGGTTAGGAAAAAGGTTTATTATAAAATCATAAAAACAAAACCTAAATGTTTTGGTAGTTTTCTCTCTTTGCTGATCCAAACAGCACTTTGCAGTCCCTACCCCCAGCCTGGGTGCTTTGATAATGCAATATAAACATTCTCCAAGAATGCAGCAAGGGAATCACTTCTGCTTGGTGGCATTTCTGCAGAGAGGAGGTACCAAGAGGGCATCTGATATTCGACATGGGTGGCTATAACCTGCAGTCACCAAGGCCAAGCATGAATTGGGTTAGGGTTCTTGGAAGCAGAGAATTACAGTAAAGCCTTAAAATTCATTCAAATTAAATCAGCTGAAGATCTAATTGGAGAGTTGAAGATGCAAATTTGGCTGAAGAGGGCAGGATTAATTTAGTGCTTTTAGGCTTGTGTTTAAATACATCTTCCTTTTAAAAACATGTATTTAATGTGGGGGAAAAAAATGTGCAGTGGATTTGAAGTCATAATCTTTTCAGGTGATGTAAAGTGAAAGAAACCAGCACTGGTGAACTTTCTGGAAAAGTTAAACTCCCAAACAGAAGCTGCTGTCTGAGCATCTGAGCATTTCAACTGAGCAGGGCTTGTAAATTTTAACTTGGGTTTTACTCACAGGAGCATCCTCAACAGATGCACAGAGAACATTTCTGTAATGACCTTCCACTCCATGAGTTTAGCTCAGCAAATCTTTGGTTTGAATCAGAGGGTTGACACAGCAAGAAGTTATAAGGGTATAAAAGAGCACGTGAAATGACAAAATCTACTTGTTTTCTCTTACTGATGCATTCATGTATTTAGAACCATCAGTTCAGCTCCTTCATTATCCAAAAACACTTCCTTTGTTTAATAATTTTAATTGTAGAACAGCTTTGGATAAGGTTATTTCCTCTCTTATGTATTCTTCGCATTTAAGAGCACTTCAATTAGCTAATAAATAAAATTCTGTGTACATAATTTAACTGCCCCAACGGGGCAAAAAACCCCAAGTGTACAAGTAATCATAAAAAAATAAATAAACTACTATTTGCCAACATAAGTAAAATTTAAAGGAAGGGCACAAATATTACTGTGTATTTAACCACTCTGAAAAATGGGTACAGCTCTAGAATATCCTTTTTAGCCAAAAAATGCAGTTTAATGGAAAGCCTGATGTTATAAATATGTGTAGATGGTTTTCAAAAACACATGCATCTTCCATTAAGACACATATATATATAAAAAAGCCAATTTTAATAGCATTTTTCTGGTTTCTTATTCAGATAAAAAATGAATAATTTAGATCATTCCAGTTAAAAATAATCTACCCTGAAACAGCAAGTTTATGAAACACCAAAGAGATATGGCATACCTGGTTCTGTTTACCAGTCTCATTGAAGATTTGAAGAAAACTTCCACTGCATTAACAAAATAAAGATTAATACCAGTATACCCAAAGCTATAAATACAAGCAGGGCAGAGAGAAGATACTAAGCAGATCAGAAAACAAAACAAGATTTTTTTTTTTTTTATTTAGGAAAATATGTAGCAATGCCTCAATCTCACTGACAAGAAAACACAGATACAAGTATTTCTTGGGAAAATATTGCTTGGGAAAAGCAGTAGGAATCAACTGCAAACACAGATTTCACTTTACAAATGACAGGGAAGTAAAATGAATCAATTCTTTGGGATTTCAGAAGCAACACCTAAGACAGGGTTAAACAGGCTGATCCTAGTGTTGTTCAGA